ACAAAAAAGAAGTTCTTAGAAATTAAAAAAGATCCAAAGATAAAGCTGTGGAAATAGCTATTTTAGAAAATATCTATTTTAGAAAATTAGAGCCAAACCGAGAGTGAGAGAGAGAGAGAGACAGAGAGAGAGAGAGAGATACTGAGAGAGGAGGAGGGAGGTTTAAAAAAATAACAACAACAAAGCAAGGGAGAAAAAAATATTTTATTTTATTTTTTTTTTTTCAACGTTTTTATTTATTTTTGGGACAGAGAGAGACAGAGCATGAACGGGGGAGGGGCAGAGAGAGAGGGAGACACAGAATCGGAAACAGGCTCCAGGCTCTGAGCCATCAGCCCAGAGCCTGACGCGGGGCTCGAACTCACGGACCGCGAGATGGTGACCTGGCTGAAGCCGGACGCTTAACTGACTGCACCACCCAGGCGCCCCGGAGAAAAAATATTTTAAAAGAGAGAACATTTATCCAGATGAGTTGAAAACTTATGTCCACACAAAAACCTGCACACAGAGGTCTATAGTCCCTTATTCATAATTGCCAAATCTTGGAATCAACCAGATGTCCTCCAGTATGTGAATGGATAAATAAAGTGATAAATAATATTCCAGACAATGTAATACTATTCAGCACTAAAAAGAAATGAGCTATCAAGCCATGAAAACAAAGGAATCTTAAATGCCTATTACTAAATGAAGAAAAGCCAATCCAAAAGGGCTACATATGATATGATTCCAACAATATGATATTCTAGAAAGAGCAAAGCTATGGAAATGGTAAAAAGATCAGTGGTTACAGGGGCTGGGGACTGGGGGAGGGGCGGGAATCAACAGGCAGAACACGGAGAATTTTTAGGGCAGTAAAACTATTCTGTATGATGCTATAATTGTGGGTACATGTCATTATACATTTGTCCAAACCCACAGAATTTGCCCCACCAAGAGTGAGGCTTAATGCAAACTAGGGACTTTGAGGGGATGATGGTGTGTTAATGGAGGTTCATCGTTGGTAACAAATGCACCACTCTGGTGGGAGATGCTGACAGTGGGGGGAAGCTCTGCCTGTGTGGGGACATGGGAATACCTGAAATCTCTGTACTTTCTACTCCATTTTGCTGTGAACCTAAATCTGCTCTAAAAAATAAAGTCTATTTTAAAAAATAGAGAGAAAGAGGACAGTCTAGTAGTTTCAACATCTAAATAAGAGAAGTTTTTAAAAAGAGATCACAGGGGCACTTGGGTGTCTCAGTTGGTTGGGCATGCAACTCTTGATTTCGGCTCAGGGCATGATCTCATGGTTCTGAGTTGGAGCCCCACATCGGGATCTGTGATGCTGGATTCTGCTTGGGATTCTGTCCCTCTCCCTCTCTCTGTCCCTCTCCTGTGCATGCGCTCTCTTTCTCTCTCTCTCTCTCAAAATAAATAAATGAACTTTTTTTTTTAAAGGAGATCACAGAAAATAGAGAGGAGGAAATTAACAAAGTAATTCTAGAACCAAAGGACATGAGCTGCTAGACTGAAAGCACCCAGCAAACCTGGCAAAATAGATGAAAACAGACTCACACCCGGCACTTGTCTGTGAAATTTCAGAACACTAGAGAAAAAGAGAAGATCTCCAAGTTTCCAGGAAGCACAAACAAGTCCCATTCAAGGGATCAGGAATAAGATAGCATCAGACTCTCTACAGCAACATTAAAAGCAAGCAGAAATGGACCCACGTCTTCAATGTTGTGAAGGGAAATCATTTCCAACTCTGAATTCTATACCCAGAAAGATAATCAAGTATGGAAGGTGGAATAAGGGTATCTGTAGACATCCGAGGACTCAAAACAATACCTCCCATGTACCTTTGTTCCTAAAGGTACTGATGGGTGAGCTCCTAAAGACAAGAGAATTCACCAAGAAAGGCCAAGTGCCAGGACCCAGGGAACAGAAGGTACAAACAGAAGAGTGGTGAAGGGAAATCCCAAGATGACCCCTGTGCTCCGATGCAGAGGGCAGGCAGTCCAGTTTGGCACAAGGTGTGACCTACATCACAACCTGAAGACACACTGAGGACAGACTGTCTGGGTGAGCCAGGTTCTTATTTATTTATACTTTGATGACCATGAGCTGACAAGGTTCCTGCTCCCCCAGCCCTATGCATTTTTCCTGGATCAGCTGAATACTCCTTTCTCCCTGAGCAAGGTGCTAAGAACCTGAAGGAAGTCCTAAGCAGCTAAGAAGGAAACATGGAAAGCAGCCCCTCTCCCAGCCAGATTTTTGCCTGATGTTCAAACTACAGCCCTGTTCAGTTGTCCTCACTGTGATTAGCAATCTTCCCAAGACCATGCTCTCTGATGTCCCCGGGGGTGGTGGGGATCTCCTCGGGGAAGCTGGATTCAGACTCTGCCCCAGACTCTACTCAGCTCATCTCCTCAGGACCAGGTTTGGACTTGTTTTTCAAAACAAAACTATATTGCGGGGGGGGGGGGGGGGGGATACTTTAGGGATGGTAGAATTATAAAGAAAAGCAAGGGAATGAAGGATATACAGATTAGGAGAGTAGTTCTTTCCTGATGAGGCTAGCAATCAGGTGGGCACAGGAGAGGCTCCGAATGTTCAATACGTCAACCTGTGTGGTGGGTTACACAGGTATTTATTTCATTATTGTTTTTAACTGCACATATGTTTAACTGCGTATATGTGCTTATATGTTTCATTAGATATTTTGAACATGTGATACATTTCACAATTAAACCCCCCCCAAAAAAGTTTGAATAAGAAAATAAAAGGATCACCTGGGGAACTTGTTAAGCAGGCAGAATCTCAGCTCCATTGTAATTCTGATTGGAGAGACCTAGTCAAGACCTGGGAATCCACATTCTTCCATGATGCTGATGCAGGGGGTCAAAAGACCACATCTTGAGCCACCTGCCTGGCTTCAGAGCATGGTAGGCTTTGGCATCCGACTAACTGAAGTCAAGGCCCCAACTCGGTTGACTACTGGTTGTATGATATCAAGCAAGTTTTCTTTGTCTGGAAAATGAGAATGATAAATCATATACAAACAGTATATATTATTAGAGACAAATATAATATAAATATGAGAGACAAATGGCCAAAAACAGAGGTAAGTTCACAACTGTGAACTATCTCCATAGAATGGAATACTATGCAACCGTTATATACAAATTCATAAAAACACGGAAAAGTTATTTTGTAAATGAAAAAAAATAGCCAGACGGAGAATATATCTACCATATAATCAAAATAATGTGCAGAAAAAAATAAACCACAGTTTCCATAGAAAATAATGAAAAAATATGCCTCGGTGTTCAAACACAGGTCGTCTTCGGGGTGAGAGACGGATAATTTTCTTCCTCTTTTTACTTTTCTACATTTTCCAAATGTTCTATAGTGGGAATTTTTTTAAACCCCTCAATTTTTTAAAGTATATCCTTTGTTACGTTTTCAAATCGAAACTAAATTAAGGGCTCTGCTTCCAATAGGATTCACAGATGTGTATGGCCAGGATCCATCTGATCCAAGCCACACAGTCTTCTCACTTCACCACAGTCTGCCCCCAATCTTTATAATCCAGATGGTTAAACACTTTAGATCCCTACTCAAAATGCAGCCCAGGAACCATCAACATCAGCATCATTTGACCATGTGCCAGAAATGCAGGCTCTCACCCCACTTCCGCAAGAAAGGGAATTAGAACCTGCATTTTAACAAGATCCCCAGAGGCAAGGTTTTTAGAGATGTAACAAAATAAGAGACACTCTCTCTTTGACGGTTTAATTTGGATTGAAGCTAACTTGGATGACCAAATTAAAACGAAGGGATCTCAGTCCCAACATTGCCTATGGGCCATCAAGCATGTTTGTCTACCGCTCTGCGCTTCAGTTTTCCTCATCGGGAAAAATGGGAATGATAAACTCAGCCTGGTGCCTAGCAAGTGCAGAGATGGAAGCAGGGGTGCAGTAAACCATTTTTTTTAATAGGTCTAAAGTAATGCTTCTTGTCGGGTTTGTTTCAACAGGACTGGCACTCTGTGGCAGCTGGGGCTCCTGGCACAGTGTTTGGCTCACCCTAAGCCAGTGTGGGTTTAATAAACAACTAGCTCAGGTGACATCTACCAATTTTTTACTTGGATTGTCCCATTCTTTCAGTATATAATACTCAAAATTGCCAGTTTTCTCCCAACACTCAAAACTGTCCCAGCTCCCACCTCCGCCACTGAAGGAGGTGGGAGAAGTTGAAGGTCATAGATAAGCTTACCGTAAACCGTTCATACTAGAACTTCCTATACTGTGGGTTACGGACCGGCACGGCTCAAGCCTGCATCTTCTCTACCTACCTCACCTAATGGTTACTCCGCCCACCGTTCTCCTTTAGCCACGCCCCCGGAGCCCGCCCCTCCCACCCGGCTCCACCCTCTCCCCCAGGCCCGTCTGCCTTCGCGTTCCACCCCACACCTCCGCTGCGCCCCGGGGCTCGCACCGCAGGCCCCGCCCCCGCCCGCGGCCGCGCCGCCCGGCTCGGCGTGCGCAGGGCTCACTCTGCCCTTCGCTGGCGTCGGCGTCGGCGGGCAGGTAGGCCCCATAGGTTGGCCCGCTGC